TATAATTTGAACCTTTTTAAAAAATTTGTTGAGGGCGCCTGGGTGGCTCAGTTGGTTAAGCAACTGCCTTCGGCTCAGGTCATGATCCTGGAGTCCCGGGATCGAGTCCCACGTCAGGCTCCCTGCTGAGCAGGGAGTCTGCTTCTCCCTCTGACCCTCTTCCCTCTCGTGCTCTCTCTCTCATTCTCTCTCTCTCAAATAACTAAATAAAAAAAATCTAAAAAAAAAAAAAATTTGTTGAGACTTGCATTAAAACACAGCATATAGTAAATTTTGGAAAATGTTCCAAATGTACTTGAAAACAGTGTATATTCTGCAGTCATAAGATAATATGCTCTCAAATACCAAAGAACACAAAATTATTAATTATGCTGCTGAAATCATTCATATCTTTTCTGGTTTTTGCTTTTTGTCTCCTTATGCTATCAGATCCCAAGACAATTGGATTAAAAACATCCCAATATAATTTGTCCCCTTTTATTCTGTCATTTTTTTGCTTTATTTAACACATATTATAAGGTACATATAAATTCACTGTTATATCTTCCAGGTAGATACCTGACTTAAATTCTTACATGTCTGGTATTAGTAAAGCTATACCAACTTTCTTTTGTTTAGCAATTGTGTATCTTTTTTCCATTCTTTTACTTTCTGTTTTTCCAAATATTTTTAGACTTTTGTACCTCTTCTAAGCAGCACATGGTTTTGCTTTATACCAAGTCCAAAAAATCCTTAGCTTTTGATTGAAATATTTAGTCTCTTACATTTAGTGTAATTTAGAATATTTATTCCCTTACATTTAGAGTAATTATTGACATATCTGGAGTTAAATACATTTCCTACTTCCTTTATATGTATCCCAACTAGACTTTGTCCTTTTCCATTCTTTTCTTGTCTTCTTCCAAATCCATTACGTAGTATTCTTATTTTCCTTTCTATTAGCTTGTTAGATACGAAGTTCTATTTTTATTTTTGTTGCCTAATGATTACAATTAAATCCTTAGTTATTAATGTTTACTATGAATTAGCTCTCTTATTAATTCCCACATGTAACAAAAACCTTAGTATTTTGAACATCATTTACCCTTCTTCTTGACTTATGAGCTGATATTATCATGCATTCAAGTTTTTTATCCATTTAAGCCTCTATTACTTTTATAGTTTAAAATAATAAATAATTACTTAAATTTACCCTTACGTTCTCTATTCCTTCCGGTATCTGGGAACATTTTTCTTTTACTTTAATAGCATTTCCTTTATTTAGTATCTCCTTTATTGGAGGTCTGCTCTTGTCAAATTCTTTTAATTCTTGTTTCTCTGAAAAATATCCTTATTTTGCTTTCATTTTTTAAAGATATTTCACTAAGTGCAAAATTTTAGGTTGATGACTATTTCCTTTCAGCAATTTGAAGACACTGTTTTCTAGATTTCATTTTTTTCAGTTAAGAAATCAGTTGTTAGTCTAGTAGCTCAGTCAGTTAAGCATCTGCCTTTGGCTCAGGTCACGATCCCGGGGTGCTGCAGGGAAGTCTGCTTCTCCCTCTCCCTCTGTCCCTTCCCCAGCTCATGCTCTCTCTCTCCCCCAAATAAATAAATAAAAGCAAGAAGAAAGAGAGGGCGCCTGGGTGGCTCAGTCGTTAGGCATCTGCCTTTGGCTCAGGTCATGATCCTGGGGATCCTGGGATCTAGCCCTGCATCGGGCTCTCTGCTCAGCAGAGAGCTTGCTTCTCCCTCTCCCACTCCCCCTGCTTGTGTTCCCTCTCTCGGCTGTGTCTCTGTCAAATAAATAAAATCTTAAAAAAAAAAAGAAAGAGAAAGAAAGAAAAGAAAAGAAAAGAAAAGAAAAGAAAAAGAATCATTGTCAGTCTTAATGTTTTTCCTTTAAAGAGAGTATGACTTTTTTCCCTTTGGCTGCTTTTAAATTTTTCTCTTCATGTTTGGATTTTCATTAGTTTTACCATGATATTTCTTTTTTTTTTTTTTTGCATTTTATTTTTTTTAAGTTTATTATGCTGTTAGTCACCATACAGTATGATCATCCATTTCATTAATCCCTCCTCAGCTGTGTCTAACTGGTTGTTAAACCCATCTAAGGAATTCTTAATTCATTTAATGTATTGTTCATTTCTATAATTTCCATTTGATTCTTTAGTAAAAGTTTCCACTTGTCTCCTAATATTTTCTACCTTTTATTTTAAAGTTTCTGTCTGAAAACACCACTATCCTATAGCTATGCTTCTAATGGCTGCTTTTTCATACCTTGTCTTTTTCTAAGACTTATCATTGTTTTATTTTGTATCAGATATTGCATATGTTTTCTGAAGAAATAATTTGAGGCTCTATGTGATATTACCTTCCTCAAGAGAGTATTTACTTTTATTCTGCCAGCTACTTAGTCTATGGGCAGATCACCATAATCCAATGATTCAAAGTGGACTTATCCACACTAGTAGGCTTAGAACTTCAGGGAGTAAACCAAATCCTTAAGTGTGTAGCAAAGTCTATCTTCGTTAGCACACTTGGAAATCCAATTTAGGTCCTCCGTATTAATTGACAAAAGCTTTTTTTTTTTTTAAGATTTTATTTATTTATATGACAGAGAGAGACACAGCGAGAGAGGGAACACAAGCAGGGGGAGCAGGATAAGAAGAAGCAGGCTTCTCACCGAGCAGGGAGCCGGATGTGGGGCTCCATCCCAGGACCCTGGGATCATGACCTGAGCCGAAGGCAGACGCTTAATGACTGAGCCCCAACTGACAGGCGCCCCAATTGACAAAAGCTCTTAAACAGCTTTCAGGATTTATTATCCTCTAAAGGAAAATAGTTTCACAAAATGCCAATTTTACCTTCCTTGACATTCCACCTATCCTAGATATTGACCCACAGATTCTCACTGCTTTAGTAGTTCTCAGATGCCTAAAAAGATGTAATTCCTAATTTTTCTCAGTGGAAATAATATTCCAAGATAATCCATTATGCCAATGAAAAAAAATTCCTCCAAACACACATTTACTAATCTTCAACGAAGTAGCCCATCTACTAAACTGTATCTACTAAAAAATAAAGCCGGTTCTGAGGTGGTAAAAACTTAAAATCAATCTGTATAATGGATATATATTAGTGACATTTTTAAATTACATCACATTTGACAAATAAACCTTATACATACTTTAATTGCTATAGGATAGCAAACTTTAAAATTAGGCTAACAAGAAGTATCAAAACTTTAAGAGTAATAGAAAAATATTTTAGTACTCACTAATAATTTTACTGATATTTTTTAAAAACACAGAAACCAATAAAACAGTAAAGTATCACATGCATCTATAATATATTTCTAATAAGGTACTAAAAATAATTTGCAAATTATTTTAATAAATTCTAAGGGATAAGTATCCAATGTTATTTGCACATATACTAAAATTGCCAAGATTGATAATTACATTCTTCTACGCAAAAGTTCACTATGGGAAATTTTCAGGAAGGGAAACGTGTTAAAATCTGAGCAAATCCCAGTCAAGTGGTGAGCAACAAGTAACTCTTATTTTGAATTCATTCAAATAATACCCATAGTTCTCTTATCCATTCACATCTCAAAAATATGTTAAGCAGATTTACAGTGCCTTAATCACTAAATCACAGTTCCTCTTGCTATCAGAACAAAAAAAGAGGAAAAGTTAGAAATGTTAAAATAGAAAATAAAATGCAATGCATAAATTATATAAAAGAAAAAAGTGATATACTGGTTTTAATATTTATAAAAATATAAAGAATAATAATGAATTGATTAGACAAAATAAAAATTACCAAATCATCCAAAGGAAATGTCTTATATTTTTTTAATCCATCTTTCTTTTTCAAATAAAATAAAAATTAGAATGTATGTTTGAAAGTGAAGGGGGTAGAACAAATCAGAATTTGGTGAAAAACTGTATTTTATTCAAATGCATAAAGTAATTTCATGATAAGAGTTTAAAAGAATGTGTAATGTCTTAAAACAACAACAGAATCATTGCCCAGGTTTTACAAAGGTAAATATTTGAGTACAACAAAAATTCTATTAAAAAAAATTCTATTTTAAAACGCATACATATAGAAAAAAATAAGTGAAAAATTAATGATATTTCAAACATAAAAGAGAACATTATGGTTATAAATAGGCAATTTACTAAATAGGAAACACAAGTGGCAAATGAACACATAAAAAGATGCCTAGTCACAATAGTGATCTGGATATGCACAATAAATATCATTAAGATACCAAGGAAATCCATTGCAAGTACAAGAGGAAAATAGCCTCACAATTACCAAATGTTGGTGGTAATATGAAGAAACAGGGACATTCACATCTACCTGGTGGAAGTATACATTACCACAGTGACTTGGAGTGCAATTGGGCAACACGTAGTAAAGTTGAGGATACAAATATCCTCAGACACAACAATTTCACTTTTAACTATATGCCCTACAAAAACTCTCACATATCTGCATGAGAAAATCAGTACAAGATGTACAATGTAACACTGTTTATAACAACAATAAAAATCAACAAAATAAAAAATACCTAAATGCACAAGCTTTGCATTTCATAGGAAATTAGATGATGAAACTGAAGAAATGCTTTTAAAATTTACAAATGACATTAAAATATGAATGCAAAGAAAAAATCACAGAGCAGAAAATATCAAAGCTCAAAGTTACATTGGTAAGCAAATTTGCTCATCTGAATTGAACATGAGATCAGCACTTACAAGTAATGCATACAGAATAGTATATCTATGTAATCAGAAAACATTTTAAAGTCAATCACTTACAGTGATAATGAATACATAGAAAATGTGTTATTTTGTGCCTTTGCTGTACAAGAGAATTAGTTGAAATAAACAGGGGAAAAGGACAAGAATGCTTCCCTGAAAATATTTAATAAATACCACTATTATACGAACATAAAATATAACTGTGACAAAGTTTCTCATCATACTTTTACCCAATCTACTCACCAAGTCTTAGTGTTAACTTCATACTTATAAAGATCATCTACCAATCCATATTTATTGCCTGGTAATGCTTTATAGCCTCCATGAACATAAATGGACTTTGTTATTTCATCATACACACTGGTATGGCCATATCCACCTTGAACAATAGCTCCTTTAGTTTCTGGAACAAGCCAAGTGTTTGATGCTGTAAGAGAAAGAAGATAAATCATGAACTTCAAAGAGTATTTAAAAATATAACTAATATATCACCAAACTACCAATAAGTAAATTCTAACAGCACATTTTATGAGTAAATTAAGTATAATTAATATTCATTTAATCAAAAAACAATTATTAAATACATGCTAGTTACTATGTTAGATGTTAGAGATTGAAGTTGAGTAAGACTGGTCTTTCTGTCGATTAAACTCTGAAATATTGAAAATGCCAAATTTTTGGATGTGCAACAGAAAAAGGAAAACTTTATTCTCACATAAATTTCTGTATTTGTAAATAGCCCTGAGAAAAAGACTTAACAAATAGTTTAAAGAAAGCCTACTATGTGACAAGCTCTGAATTAGTTACTGATACAGCAAAGATTAAAAAAGATATGATCCCCATCCTTAGCAATTTTTAGCCCATGCTGGTCCTTCAACTCTTGGTTATAAGCCTCACTTTCCCTTCTACAGAGAAGAATGAAAACCTAAACACTGAATTTTCAGGACTTCCTTGACAGCTATATCAACTAATAGGTTCCACCAAGGGGAGTACTGGTGAGAGATTAGAAGGTGAGAGTAATGAAGACGTTCTACCTTCATCTCTAGCAGCAGGACCATGCAGGGGACTACAGTGGATAAGAGCAGCGATGACCACACAGCAACAGCAGCAGGTTAGTGCCTGCTCAGTGACAGCAGCGGCACCTAGAGTAGCTCAGTGACAAATGTGGTCTTGGGCTTCAGCCTTAGTGTGTAGCAGCTTCCAGGTTTCTGGGTGATCCCCTCATTTTGTTGTCTCTAATACTCTTGTAACTAACTCCCTATATTAAATCCCATTCTGCTTGGTATATCTAAAAGGGACTCATTTCTTACTGCAAACTCAAATTGATATGACCATCAATCATATGCAAGACATGCTTTTAAGAATATGCAGATGAACAAAACACAGATCCTTGCCTTAGAAAATTTAGATTATAAAGAGTAACTATATAGAAATCTGTCATTGGTCTTTAGGTATCCACCCAAACCACACCTCCATCTTCCCTCTAACTAGTCATCTAAACTTTAGCATAGTAGGCAGCTCAACTGAAAATACTCAAGTCAAGTAACAGAAAATAAAAGTGATCTTAAAAATTGTTCACTTTTACATAATTCTAAAGTAGTGAAGAAAGTGATACTTCAATGGTCATTAAATATAGAAGTATCAAAAGGAGTCACTAAGCCAATTTTATTTTGATAAAACTAAACATATGTGAAGAAATTTCAAAGCACACTTGTAACTAATGAGTATTACATTTTAGAGGTAATTTCTAAAAAATGACATTAATAATAACTTATCAGAAATAATTTGATTAATACTCTTTAACCACTTATTAAAGTTCTACTCATATAGCCCAATTGACAGTTTTCATATTTTTATTTATTCTCTTTTTAATAAAGATGAACATGCTTCTTACCAAAAAAATAAAGGAGGTCTTTAATGTAAAAGTGAATATTACCTTCTCTCCCAACCCACTATCTAGAGGTATTTTTCACAATTTGTTATGTTCAGACTATTTTCAGAATATTGTTCTAAATATTTTATTACACATATACAAAATACATTTAAATTACAAACATCTGCATCTATACCTATAAATACTCGTACCAAAAAATCATGTTATTTTACAGCTATTTTTTCACTTAAAACAACTGGGGCATTCTTCCATGACCCACTTATTATTTTTCAACACCTAAGTTCCATTCTATTAATGACACATAACTTATTTAAATAACTCTACATCGTGACTCATTTGGGTTTCAATTTGTTCCTAAAAACAATAATGCAATAAACAACTTTGCAATAAGCTGTAGCATCATTATCTAATAGAACATATACTATGTCTCAAGAAGCACCTCATTATTTCATTTAATAATAACCCTTTGACAGGTTTACTATTGCATATTCTTCTTTACAGCTGATGAAATCTAGAGTTAGAAAAACTAAAAACTAGAGTTAGTACCACATTAAAAGTTTAGAAGTTGATAAGTGGAACAAAATGGTATAGACTCGTTTCTTCCTCTCCTCCCCACTAAGTACAACAACAGACTCTGGAAATAGTGCAAGAGACAAATCTGAAAAGTGTAAAGGCAGACTGGTTACAGACTCCAGGACTAGAGAATGGGTGTCTCCTTAACCTCCAACAGAAGAAGGCTGTGCAAACCCAACATTTCTCAACTGCTCAACCAAGCAATGAAAAGGCAACGCAGGTAGCCTTATTCCTCCTCAAAACTGAACAGGAGTCCTATGGACAACCCAGGTGATCCTAGCAGCATCAGCAAGAGGGACCCAGCAAACACTGTTTAAAATAAGCAGACAGGGAAAGAGTTCCTGTTCCTCACCAGATCGAGACTGGAAGGAGAGATCCCACAAGACTTGAAGAATAAACCTAAACAGGGACTGCCTGCTAAAACAGATTTAAATGGGACCCAAAGACTCCCAATACAATAGCCAAATGTCCAGGTTACAATTAAAAACAAAAAATCACTTGTCATACTGAGAACCAGTAAAATCACAACTGAATGAAAAAAAAACAATCAAGTGACAGTAACACTGAGATGCTGATACTACCTGACAAGCATTTTTAAGTAGCCATGATAAAAACATTTCAACAAGCAATTGCAAGTTCTTTTGAAATAACAAATCTCAGCAAAAAAAGAAAGAAACAAAGAAATTTAGGGGGAAAAATGCAATAATAAGCAAAAACTATATATACAGACTCAATAATAGAGTGGAGCTGACAGAAGACAAAATCAGTAAATTTGAGGACAGATCAATAAAATGTGCCCAATCTGTATAATAGAGAAAACAGCCTGAAAAAAAAGTCAACAGAATCTCAGAAAGCTTTGGGACAATAACAGTTGATTCAACATTCATATCATTAAAATCCCAAAAGAAGAAAAGGAGAATGGAAATGAAAGAGTATTTGAAGAAACAATGACTAAAAACATCCAAATTTGTACAAGACACGAACTTACGGATTCATGAACCTTAGAGAAATCCAAATCAGATAAATTCAAAGAAATCCACACCATGATACATCATAAGAAAACTTATAATTAACTAAACACAAAGAAAAAAAGATCTGGAAAGCAGCCAGAGAGAAATGGCACATTAGTTATAGGGCAACATCATTCTGAATAACTGTGGATTTCTCACCTGAAACTATAAAAGCCTGAAGGAAGTAGCACATTTTTCAAGTGCTGAAAAACAAGAACTGTCAGGCATGAATTCTGTTCTAGCAAAACTATCCCTTAGGAATCAAATGGAAAAAAGGACTCTTAGATGAAAAGAAAGAAAACTAAAAAATTTTCAAATGTGACCCTCTCCTTAAAGAATGGTTAAAGGAAAATATTTAAACAGAAATGAAATAATTAAAGAAGGAATCTCAGGGGCCACCTTGGTGGCTCAGTTGGTTAACTCTTGATCTCAGCTCAGGTCATGATCTCAGGATCATAAGATTGAGCCCCATGCTTGGGATTCTCTCTCTCCCTCTCCCTCAGCCCCTCCCATCCCCCCACTCATGCACCTCTCTCAAAAAAAAAAAAGAAGAAGAAGGAATCTCAGACATTCAGGAAAGAACAACACAGCAGAAATATGATTACATACAATAGACTATCCTTCTCCTCTGTGAGGTCTATAAATCATATCTGATGAAGGAAAAAATTATAACATCATCTAATACTGAAAGCAATGATATTTAAAAGTGGAAAAGGTAAGGGGATGTAAATGAAAGCAAGGTTGCCACACTTCACCTGAAGTGGTAAAATGCTGATACTAGTAGACTGTGATAAGTCACACACACATAAATATAAATATGTGTATGCATACATATATATATATATACATATATACACACACACATTTTTTAAGTAGACTACATGCCCAGTGTGGAGCCCAATGTGGGGCTTGAACTCATGACCCTGAGATTAAGCCCTGAGCTGAGATCAAGAGTTGGATGCTTAACCAACTGAGCCACCCAGGTACCCCAGTCGATATGTAGAACAACCACTAAGAAAATTATACAGAGATACATTCAAGAATACTATTAAGTAAATCAAGATGGAATTCTAAAAATTGTTCCCAAGTAACCCAGTAGAAACAAGTAAAGAGAGAAAGAGGCACAAGAAATAGGAAACAGAGAAGAAATAAATAATAAAATAACAGACCAAGGCACTAATATATCAAAATTAACTTAAATGTAAATGGTTCACTTTTATAACATTCTTGAAATAACAGAATTCTAGAAATGGAGGACAGATCAATGATTATGAAGGGTGAGAGACGGGAGGGGAGTGAGAGTGGAAGGTGTGGTTTAAACGGGCAATGTGAAGGAGTCGTGTGGTGATATAACTATTCTATATCTTGACTGTGGTGGTGGATACATGAAACAATATGCAATAAAACTGCACAGAACTAAACACATACACAAGTACACAATACACGCACATGCACACACAAATACAAATGAAAATGAGGAAACCTGAATAAGATCGGTGAATTGCACCAGTGTCAACATCCAGGTTGCAATATTGTAATATATTTTTGCAAGAATACCATTTGGGAAAACTTCATAAAGTGTACACAGGATCACTCTGTTATTTCTTACAAGTGTATGTGAATCGACATGATCTCAAAATAAAAAGTTCAATTAAAAATATATATTCACTTACAAGTAATGGGCAGTTCATCATGAAATGCAATATTTCACTTAACTACTTATCAAACATTAAAAAAAAAATTAAAAGTATAAGACCTACGATACAGGTCTAACACCAAAGGCTGTATTCTTAAACACTACAGCAGTATTTCTCAAGGGTTAGTCACTAGCAGTTCAATTAAAGAACCCACAGGTGGTATGGTAGTTTCAGATGAAAAATTAAGGAAACAATCTTGTTCAGATACAGGTGATAAACTCAAAATGTAAAATTAATTATGATTCACATTCTC